TTGACAGACGCCTACCGCGAAACGCTGCGAAATGAAAGAAAGAATATGTCACAAAACTCTAAGATCCGGAAACAGAGCGCTGTTCTGTCTATGTTTGTTCGTAATTGTAGTTTGATTCGTTCGGTTTTTTTTTGTTTAGGCAACGCACAAGACTGGCTAAATATTGTTTCTGTCTCTCTCTTTGTTTGCAAGGTCCACTTGTCATTACATGGTTGTACATAGGAACTGAGCATGTATATATCTCAAAGGAAGTTCCAATGAGTTAGGTGTGGAGAGGTCAATGCACAGACGGAATTATTGGCTGAAAACGCTGATTGAAAAGTAAACGTTATGTTGTTTTTGTGTTAATACATTAGGGAATATAATATATTGATTAGTAAATAAATAATAATATATTCATTTTAATGACTAAGTTTATATCTTAAATTTATCCATTAATAATATTTCTCGAGCCCATAGAGAACCTCAACTTGATGGGTGGGCACTTTTAGGACAGTACAGTAATAATTAAGTGGTAGTCTTCGATGCAGCATCCCTGTGATGGTGATGTGAGGAGGATAGTCCCATCTCTTGAAAATTTGTACAAAAAAGAGCAGCAGGCAAGCTTCGACACCGTGTCAGCATGGGATAGGTAGAGGGTTCTTAAGAAAGAGATTCTGTCAGTCACTCGCATCCTACACACGTTGGTGTAACGACATTGTTGCTTGGTGGCAAGGCACTGTAACAATAAAAAACAGTATAGATAATTTACGACGTGCACATGAATTCCATTTCTATGATAGCTACGTAGCAATATTCTGCATACGCAGGCTAAACGTGCACTGACTAAATTGATGTGGTTTTGAATGCGCCCGCACACATTTCAAACGTCCTCCGCACGTTGGCTTTTCTGCAATAACAGGCATTATGAGGAGGAGCCAACTTTTCTCATTTACCGGTGGCGAGATCAAGCAGTGTAGGCCGTTGCGTCTATAAGAACCCTGGGCGTATATGCTGGAACTTCTTTCGAGAAACGGCAGTCTTTTAAATACTCTTTCTTCAATATGTGCGCTATCGTAGTTGATTGGCTGTGCGTTGCTATTTTAGTTACGGAGACGCAATTTAAATTCAGACGCAGGGGGCTTCATGTGATCAAGTACCGTTCCGTTTAGGTAGATAACAATTTCGTCTTTTGCAAGTTGAAGGAAATACCGGAAAAGCAGAACGTTGTCATAAGCGTAGTGATCTATGGTATAGTATAGTATAATGTAGTATATTATGGTATATCAAGCAGTGAGAATGAAAAGCGATGGCGAGATGGAGGGACGCGCGGAGAAAGGGTAGGGGAGTAAAGCAACGAGGTGAGGCAGGGAAGCGAGCATGGGGAGTCGGGGAGAGGTCAAACGCATAGCATAGTCATCTGTCATGGTTCAGCAGCGTGTGACGTTGGGCTAGTTGGTGCATAGCTTAATAAAATATTTGGGCTGCCACTGTGACAAGCAAGAAAAAAAAAGAGAGAGAAGACAGGATAGTGCGCCAGACTTTCAGCTCGTTTATTTTCCTCACAGCACCCAAACATATGTGCTTCCGGATAAGCTCACACGGTGGCGAATGAGTCTGTGTCCCGTCGATCAGTTTGTACCGGAAAGAATGCTTAGTAATAGATAGCGCTGTGCGATAGGTGTTTTTTGTGTGTTTTTTGTTTGTTCGATGTGTTAGTCGCTTGTGCTGCGACCCCTCTTTGTGCGAATATCCTGAAGCACTTGGGTGGTGTGAGAAAAATAAATTAGTTGAAATACCGGAGCCATATTTTGTCTTCTCCCTTTCTTCTTGCTTGTCTCGATTGCTCCACAACTATTTTATTAATCTACTGTGATGTTACCAATCTGATTTCATGATTCACTAGGCGCAGCTCAACACGACACGGACTGAGAAAAATACTCAGTACCTGTAGTGTTGCGCTGCGCTATGTGAATCGTAAATCGCACCCGACTATCCCGGTGACGTGCCCTATAGCGAAAGTAGTTCGACGACTTCTCCTGACTGGGGTGATTCACAGTTGGCGGTCGCTTGACCCGCAGAGCGTGAGCGAGGGCTACAACGGCACCGTGTTCGCGTACGGCCAGACGGGCTGCGGCAAGTCGTTCTCGATGCAAGGCGCGCCGCGGGCGCCCCAGCAGAAGGGCATCATCCCGCGCTCGTTCGAACACGTGTTCGAGGCCATCGCCGCGGCCGACTCGTCCAAGTACCTGGTCCACGCGTCCTACCTCGAGATCTACAACGAGGACGTGCGAGACCTGCTGGCCGAGGACACGCGCAAGAGGCTCGACCTCAAGGAGCATCCCGACAAGGGCGTCTACGTGCCCGGTAAGCGTGATCTTGAGTAGCGAACGAAACTCTGGAACCAAGACACGCACCTTGAGCTATCTACATAGTATAAGCATGGCTGCCAAACTCCTCATGACGTCAGACATTTGTTATTAAGGAAATGATTTAGTTTGTTTCAAGATGTAAGGGCTTCTACATGCGCAGTAAAGACTTCGTGGCGTCACATTACCAGGCCTACATATTTTGAGGAAGCCCTTATTTTTGCCGTGAAAATGAGCAGAATGCATACAAATTAATAGAAAAAAGAATAAACTGAATTTATCCAGCGCGGTGAACATCAGGCAGAACACCCGTAAACGAGCTTTTTATGGTTCTGCAAGAAACTTATTTTGTACAAAGTAATGTCGCTCAAGGCGGGACAGTAGTGTACAGGCAAGTTTATCCATGCTAACTTGTCCGTGTTTTCTGAACGCGTTGGTTCGCACCCTCTGTTCGCCGTGCCGCAGTCTTCGTACATTGTTCACGTACTTTTGTTTTAAGCGAATACATTCCCTCTTTGCGTCTTTTACGCATTGGAGATCGCATCACATAATCACATCTGTAAATGTTGGTTCAGGTGTGTCACGGGAAACTTTGGTTATAATGAGGTATCTTTTATATCGAACCGCATACGGTTTATAAGCCAGTTTTTTACCACAATAATTGGTTCTATAGTTGAAAAGATTAAAAAAGAGCCGTAACTGGAAGAACCACTGTGCATCTATGTGTTCCTTAGATTAACGGGGGCTATATATAGAGGGCCTTAGAGAGCGTGCAGATTAGGATAAACGAACGACTTAGGAAACATGCGCCAAAATAAATAAAAATAATGACAAAGGGGTACATCTGTTTTTCTCGTAACTCCTGCAGCAGCAATTGTGTCCCGCGGTTCGGTGAAATGTTCCGGCAGAAGCAAGAACGAACAGGGACGGCTTGCCTTGGAAGCGTACCACATTCATTAAATCTATTCACAACTTTACTCTGATGCACGTATCAACATGAAATGGTTTTTTATAGGTTTTCGTACCTCTATAGCGAAATCGCTTGAGATTCCATGACTTCTCTACAGTGATGCTGATGAATTGTGCTGTACTGAACGTTTTTCGCTTTCCTCGCTGCTGTCTTTGTTTTTGCGAGCCGGGATGTAGGCCTAGTCAGGAAAACAGTTTCGTCTGTTTCCTTTTGCCTCATCTCGGTGGCATGTAACTGTTGTGTACACATGCCAGAATGAAGTATTATTATTATTATTAAGAAAAAAAAAGAAGATATTATTAATACTTCTATTACTTTGAACCCATCTGAATGCGAATTCATGCATGCGCATTTTCGCTCATTATTTTTAATGTTACGTATGCAATGTGTGTGTGTTTTTGTTTATTACGTGCACGCGTTCGGTTAGATGGTTCTGGCATTTATATGCGCTGTCTGTCACACGGGAAATGAACTAGTTGTTTAGTGAGCTCTCGTGTCAGTCTCATTTTACTCTTTGCGTATCTGACCTGGTCGGTCATCTCTGAGACAAGATGCGCATCGCAGGCCTTTCCCTGGTGCCGGTGCACGACGTGTCCTCGTGCGAGTCGGTGATGGAGCGCGGCTGGCGCAACCGCTCGGTGGGCGCGACGCTCATGAACGCCGACTCGTCGCGGAGCCACTCCATCTTCACCATTCACCTGGAACAGATGGAGCTCAACGCGCGCAACAGCATACGCACGGGCAAGCTCAACCTCGTCGACCTGGCCGGCAGCGAGCGACAGGCCAAGACAGGTGAGCACGAGGATGACGCTGCGGGGAAAACACCTCGCTCGCGACGCTTTCGCAGATCTCGGTGTTTTTAAGTGTGAATACACTTTATAAGCGACCCCAAACCATCCACCGCCATCGGCGGCGTCCGCAGTCTTCTCTCTATCTTTAAAAGAAAGAGGACTCGGAATAAGCCACGGACGCGACGCTGATATCGGTGTCAGTAACGCGCCTTATACCCCCTCCCCCTTCGCTCGCTCCTCCGCTCTCCTCGCTCGCTGCAGCTGCGCGCGCACCCCTCTCTCTCGGCCTTCTCTCTCAGTCTCCCGTCGAGAGCGGGTCGTGAGGGGGAGTAAAGTTAAAATCCGTTGGCATTCGCCAGTGAGTTAACGTAAACTCCCCCGTGTGATCAAATTGCGATTCCCAGGAACCATTACACCATAAAGGCACCATAGTGTGATTAATAAATATAATAGTGCGAATTAATAAATACCCCTCATAGCATCACCCCGCGCATTCGCACTTTACCATGTTCACCCTCGGGGAAATGCTTGGCAGTTTTTTTTTGTTTGCACATAGTGAGGCTTACATACTCGGTTACAACATAAGCGAATAACAAAGTCAGTTCCACTTCATGTGAAAGGGGTACAAATTGCGGAACATTAATTTGGCTGTTCCACTTGTGTGTTTATCAGCTCTTTTCTGTTCCTTTGACTTCTTTTCTTGCGTCTATATGCTTTTGTCTGTCGTCATAGAGGTTCGCGCTATAGCAGTTTGAATATTGCCACATTCCCTCTTCAAGTTTTGTTATCGCCCCGTTTCACTGTCACTATATCTCAGCGCAAACCGCGTCTGCAGTGTCCGAGAAGCTTCAGGACTGCAGTATATCGCTTCGTCAAGATTACACCCATTTCGCGAACATTACAGATTATTCTGGAACCCACGTGGCCGCTAGCGATAACGCTAGAATGTTCGATGGCACCTGTATAAATGCCGACACGCTTCACAGCTTGACAGTTGATCGACGGCCCTGTATAAATGCTGACCCGCTTCACCGCTTGTCAGTTGATCGACGGCTGACGCTCTGTTCGCCACTGTCAGTGTCAGCGTGTTGCTGTAATCTGTCTTTCCTTTTACGTGGTCACAAGTTCGGCCGAATGGACAATTTAATCGGAACCACCATGGAGTCTGTTTCCTTCGTTCGCTTCACGACCCCGTGATAATGTACTCCAACTGCAGCCCGAACACGCACTTTGCCATAAACGAACCTCGCGACCACGCTGCAGGCGCCAGCGGTGAGCGCCTGCGGGAGGCGACCAAGATCAACCTGTCGCTCTCGGCGCTGGGCAACGTCATTTCGGCGCTGGTGGACGGCCGCAGCAAGCACATCCCGTACCGGGACTCCAAGCTGACGCGGCTCCTGCAGGACTCCCTGGGCGGCAACACGCGCACCCTGATGCTGGCCTGCATCTCGCCGGCCGACGTCAACTACGACGAGACGCTGAGCACGCTGAGGTACGCCAGCCGCGCCAAGAACATCCAGAACCGGCCGTGCGTCAACGAGGACCCCAAGGACGCGCTGCTGCGCGAGTACCGCCAGGAGCTGGAGCGGCTCAAGCAGCTGCTCTCCGGGGGATCGTTCATGGCCACGCCGGCGGCGTCGTCTGCGACGCCCGAAGGTGAGTCGTTCGTCTTGGCCACGCGCTACGAGGCTTGTGAGATAAGCCGAAAGTTTACTGGGAGAGGGAGAAATTTAACAGTGGAAATTTTCAGGCTTTGAGTTCCAGCCCTGGCTGGGGACTTCTCGAAACTCGGCGCAGCTGTGCAGAGCGAATTGGAAGCGCAGTACATATATAGTATACTATAGTGATGGGTGGTAAAGAGAAGTGAGAGTATGGAGAATAAAAAAAAGGAGGAAGGGAAGGCCACCGGTACCACTGTTTCCTCAGTTTTCTAAGAACTAACGTGTTGATGCCTCAATTTTCGAAGAAAGTTCTCTCTTTATTAAACTGAAGCGACGAAGTGCTTCCCACAACGGCCTGCTTTTGGTCCGCGAATCTCCGGGAGGAAAAAAATGGGAGGTAAACAGCTGTTATAATGCAACATGAGTGGCCTTCGACCTTGTACTCGTAATTAAAAACCTGCTTGGTCATAACCTTTCTCTTCGAACAATGGGGGGGGGGGAACTGGTCCGACTGAGTAAAGGTATGGAACAGACTGCGCTCCGTTATAGGTGTTTACACCTATAACGACGAAACTCAAATTAGTGAGTAAAGGGCGTGGATGACCCCTAATCACTAGCTGCATATATCTGTCGATGGCCACACTGCACATAATAAACATTCGCACAAAACAGCTCAGATTAGTTCAGTACTCTGTTCGCTGTTCTGGAGGCATTTTTAATTTGCAAGTGCTCTCTCGCAATCCGGCACATCTCGCTCTCTACTCTAGCTCAAGCTTGTACATTGCAGAAATCTGACGCGATAACCTTGCTTTTTAAATCGCTTTACATTACAATATTTTTTTATGCCCTTTGCAGAACGACCAGACAGTAACAGCGAAGTGGTGAACCAGCTAAAGAACGTGAGTTATTTAAAAAGTGGAGTCTTTTGCGTACACGAGTGCGAAATGGGTGTTCTTTTGTTTGTTTTTTTGCGATGGTGACGCAGGACTACGAGGCCCAGATGACCGAGCTGCGCAACAAGTACCGCGAGGAGCAGGAGAGCCGTGCCAAGCTGATGATGGACGTGGAGAAGATGCGGAGCCTGTTTCAGATGCAAATGCAGAAGGTCGAGCAGAAGCACAGAGACGAGGAGATATCGCCAGAGGCGAGTAGGAATATCATAATTCAAAATCGTCGCACCATATCTAAGCCATCGGCTTTAGACGGCTTGAAAGCAAACGCCATCTTCTTCTGTTATGACCTCAACCTAATGCTGTTCAGGTTGAGGTTATCACGTGGTGATTTTTGCATTACTCGTGTTGGTGTCGTCACCAATGGTCTGTTTTTGCATTTGATGAAGAATCTTCGCTTTCTTCGCTTTTTTACTTTCGCCTTAATAGCCTACAGGCGTGTGCTTGCCTGATCACGTGGAGTAGAACACTTTTAAGGTTGTCCACAACACTGATGGTTTTAAGAATTTTCTTCTTGCAAGCGAACGCGTTTCCATGGCGGTGTCACAGAACGAGCACTAAAAATGGGCGCGCCGCCAAATTCTTGCGATAACGGGCGGGAGAAACGCCGCGAGGTCAAAAGAAAAAAAAAAGAAAACAAACATCCAAAGCTCCCCGGGCGCGCGCTCCCCCCCCCCCCCCCTCCCCGCAGAAGCGTGGCTTCGCCGACGAACCTCCTCACCCCACAACGGCGGCCGAGCAAGCACTCGATTTTTCCAGAAGGAACGGGGCGTGTATGCCGGGTTGACTCATCTGTCGGGGACGGCCCCCGTACAGTCTCGCGCCTCTCCCCAGCCTTCGCTGCGTATCGCGCCGACGAAATGACGAGAACTTTCTAGAATGTGGCGCGGAAGGTATTTAATCGAGCGGCCGAGACGAGAAAGGAGGAGAAGACGGAAGTTTAGCGCCAGAGCGCGTCGGGATTCCGCCGTGTAGTCGGCGAAGGTTTTGTCCGTAGGCACGAAGCAGGAAATGAAGAGGATTTCCACCTGAGGGGTGAAGGCTCGAGCTACAGGCAAGAGCGTGTGTTTACCGCTATCGAGCGAAGACGCGTGGCAACAGCTACGAGTGTGAAGCCGACGTGTTTCGGGCGAAGAAGTTTGAAGCTTGGAGAGTGGCCTATTGAAGACGTGAGGTTTCCTGGAAGAGAAACTTCGGCGAGGTTCCCTGGAAGAGGAACTTCGAGGGCAGCGGAACGACAACAACCCTGGATTTTGAGTGAGTGATTTTCGGAAGAGTATCATCCCGACTTCTGTTCCAAGAACTTTGGACTGGATAGGTTTTCTATCTCTTTAGTCTTTAAGTGTCTTGGTGGTTCAATGCATGCGACTGCATAGTAGTGCGTATCGTTGTCTGTGTCCGTTGTTTTGAGTGTGGCTGATTGTACTGTGTAGCACGTTGTTTGATTGGTGACGTATTGTATGTAATTATCGTGGAGAGTGCATTCTTGTGTGTTGTTTTCGATCTGCCATTTTTGAGAATATAATATTTGTTTTGTTTATCAACTCTCGGCTCTGACTTGTTATTTGGGCCACAGCCGGCGTCTGCTGGCGCGCCAAAAAGGACCACTTCAAAATTGTCCACGCTTTCGTGGTGCGGTTCGGGGGGCCAATACTTCAGCCCTTAGAATTAGCCCGGCGATCGCCTCCCTAATTAACGGGACCTGTGTGACAGGCGGTAATGGAGCGTCGTTGAGTCTCCTTTCATTCGAATGTGGGAAGAGAAAAGTGCGATATTAAACCTTTCGTCATCAACGACGATGCCGTATGCGTTGAGTGTGGTAATCATGGTTAAGTTATTGCAGTGTTAATGTTTTAATAGACGGCCAAACAAGTGGTACGAGTGGAACCTCCGTTGCTGTTTGCTCGATGCTTTGCACTCCTAGATAAAACGTTTCTTTTTATTGTTCGTAGGTGAACAACAACCATCTGAAGGTCGAAGAGCCGCAGACTGGGCGCTGGGCCGAGCCAGTCGGAACTCCCGAAAACCCCGAGATCCGCGCTCCCAATGCGTCGCCCTGCTTCGGAAACCAAGAGTGAGCACGATGCCCCGTTTTCAAGAATGGTAACCCCGGGTGGCCGTATTAGTGATGTAGTATCGACACGGTGAAATCTTTCCGCCGAAAGAAGTGTTCAGTTTTGCTCGTAATTAGTCTCGGTAGCTGGGCGTTTTAACCGTGAGTGTCGGCAGGATTTTGCCATGGGGAGTGCAAAACCGTGTTGCATCGCTGGTGGGAGAGGGGGCAGCGCCGGTGTAGCTTGAAGGGGGTGGGGAGAGAAGTGCTTCTTTACTGCCCTTTTGACGCTCATGGTTTCGACAGCTGACGTTATCAAGCTGCCCTGTTTCACTGAAGTGGTTCTAAGAGAGAGAAAAGAAGAGAAAAGCGAGGCCCGTAAGTGTCTGCATCAGGGTGCGACACCTCAACAGTAGCTCACAAGGAATGGGGTGAGGAGGGATTAAAAGGATAGGAATAAAGGTGTAGAGAGAGAGAAAGGGAGATGTGCTAAGCCAGCGAGCGAGGACATATCGAGGGGATAGGAGAGATAGGAAAGATGGAAACACGGTCACAGGAGTCCGAGGATGGGGCACCACGTGCGAGAGCTCTTGTGGGCGTCAGGAGATGGCGTAGGGCAAGTCCAGTAGGTCACCCCGCCGCGGTGGTATAGTGGCTAAGGTATTCGGCTGCTGACCCGCAGACCGCGGGATCGAATCCCGGCTGCGGCGGCTGCATTTCCGATAGAGGCGGATTGGGGGGGGGGGAGGATTGAAAGAGTAAGGACAGGGAGGTTAGCCAGTTCTCAGACCGGCTGTTAGGCCAGTGTGCTCAGATTTGGGTGCACGTTAAAGAATCCCAGGTGGTTGAAATATCCGGAGCCCTCTACTACGGCGTCTCTCATAACCATATGGTGGTTTTGGGATGTTAAACCCCACATATCAATTGGTCACCGCTCTTTGTTTCATCGTCATACTCACATTTATAAACAGGGTGTGATCACGTGCATTCTTTGACGAGCGCTTTTTTGTGGGCCGCATGTGTGATGTAATGCGAATGCTCTGCAACGGTTTAGTTCCATACATGTTCCGTGCCTATAGGATGGTCACTGATTGTTCACTTTATCTATTCGCAGGGATCAAGCGAGCCTGGTCCAGATGCAAGCGAGGGCTCTGGAAAGGCACGTACGAAGTGTTTCTGAAGCGTTTCACAGCTTGCTTTCAGGCAGCGCTGGTGCATACAGCATGCTACCGCATTAAACCCTCTTTCGTAGGAAATAGATCGGCATGTTTTGTCTTCTTACGCTAGCGTAATTTATGTTTCTGTATCTTCGACTCGCACTGTTACGCACAAAACCTGCTCTTATTTCCCGTTTTCATTCCCAATGTTTTTCAATGTTCTCGAGTGTACTGAGGAAAATAAGGAATGCATGGTCACGGCACCAACGCGGGAATGATTAGGATGCGCATCATCTCCGAGACGTGAATCAAGTTGTTATCATATAAGTTCAATGAACTGGAAGCGCGCAGGAATAGACAGCGGATGAGGAAACTACCGCCAGTCAAAAAAAGAACCGACTGTTCCGTTTTGGTTGACTGAAAAAAAAACTAACTTTATTTCCATTGAGATTCCCGTTGCCGAGCGAGGTTGCAAGAATACAAGGTTGCCAGTTGGCGAAAAGAAAGAGGCTGAACTTGGCAGTTTCTTCAACGGGTGAGGAAGAACCGCACAACACGAGCGTTGGAAAATTCGTAATTGGTGGATGTGCCCGAGAAGCGTATACTTGACTTCCTCGAGGCCCTTTAGTCTTCTTATTCAGTTTTAGCCTTGAAGTCTTCTTATTCAGTTTTAGCCTTGAAGTCTTATTCAGTTTTAGCCTTGATGTCTTCTTATTCAGTTTTAGCATTGAAGTCTTCTTATTCAGTTTTAGCATTGAAGAAGATAAGTCTGCTTGTCGAAACGTGGGCCAAGCGCACAAGCGTTGTTTACGAATTTTTCATCGCAAGCTTCCATCTTCCCTCTGACTTTTTCGGACAACACGAGCGCGTAGGTCGTGCTCGTTCGTTGTCTGTTCCCGAGCTCCCGATTAGCTGAACAAACAGGATTCACCAACTAGCCCACTTGTCGATCCTTTCGCAAGTCACAAGTTGCTGTTTTTGCCCGCAGTCTTTTGCCGCCTACAGACACACTCTTTCACCAGTCCTAATAGCCTGGCGATTATCGCGAACGGAGAACTCAGTGCAAGTTGTCGAAATCGTGGTCTGTTGCAGATTTCATCTTATGCGGATGTGCGAGTTTGCTCCTCCCAAGTCGCCCCTGTGGGTTCCCTCAAAACTTGCGACAGAGTCGTCATAAACCCCATAACAATCGAAGAAAAACGTAACCCCATAACAATTGAGAGAAACAATTGGCCATCGTTTCCTGGGTCGAACGAGTCGCTTCCCGCGTGGAGCCACTTTGAGGCACAGGACGATTGACGTTTTAGTCAAGGGAAGACAGTACCACGATCTGCCTGTTTTTGCTTGCAGGTTGCGCGAGTTGCAAGGCAGGATGCTGGGCGGCGAGAAGAAACACGACGCCGAGCTGAAGGCGAAACGCGCCAAGAGAAAAAGCATGGCCGAGAAGAGGATTCGTGCGTTGGCAGGTGCGTGATATGGCTGTTTAAACTTGGCGAGAAATAATAAAAAAAAATCAAGGAGAAAATCGACGAGTATTAGGGAGAAAAAAAAAACATGTGAAGCAGTTGTTACTGAAGCTATGTATGGGAGAGTTCTTAAAGTAAACATAAATGTACGATAGAAGTTTTGTGCATGCATGGTCCCGCCGTAGTGGTCTAGTGGTAATGGAACTCAACTGCTGATTCGAAGGTCTATGGATCGAATCCCGGTTGCGGCGGTGCTATTTTCGATGGAGGCGAAAACGTTTGAGACCTGTGTATTTAGATTTAGGTGCAGGTTAAAGAACGCCAGTTGATATATGTTTCCAGAGCCTTCCACTACGACGTTTCTCGGAATCATATCGTGGTTTTGGGCGTTAAACACCATATATTGTTATTGTTGTGCATGCATACCTATGTACATGAGCATATACTGTATTTGTATTATGCACCTTTCCGCACTTGAATTATTTCACTATGAGCTTTTTTATTTATTTAACTACATTTTTCAAGAAACTGACAGCACCACTATTCTTGCGTGAAAAATATTTTTTCTTGAAAATTTGTTCAATTCATTTCAACTTCAACCGTTTTTTAAGCTTCTAATGATAGCACTCGAAAGGCTGTTTCTCAACATGCCGGGGTCACGTGACCCGAGCATCAGCGTGACGAATCACGTCATTGGTAGAGCATCACGTCACTTCCGGCTCTCTTTCTAGCAGCAGTGACGCTGGCAAAAGTAGTGAAAACAGCGAATTATCAAAGCACAGCCCCCTTCCCCTAAAGGGAAGTGGGTCAATCACAGACACTATTGGAATAGTTATGCATGTGCATTGCAGGCAGAGCCTTCGCATTCACTCATATCATGTCGTGGTGGCGGTGTGATGTCTTACGTCACATTACCACCCAAGTCACGTGACAGAGATACTAGCAGATAAGCAAAGGCAGGAAAATTAGCCAGGCTTTAGCCTGGTTGGCTACCCTACACTTGGGATTGGGTAAATGGCATAACAGGTGCGGTAGAGAAGAAATAACAAAAAAAGAAAAAAGAAGAACCGAGCTGCCGTAAATACTCCCCCGGATAATGCTTTGTGGTGTAGGATCGGGCGAAGTGACAGAGATGACAGAGGAGAGGCTGCTCTGGCTGTAGTGAACAGGTTGCTAGAAGACGTACTGGTGCCTCATATAGTTTTGACCTACAAGTCGTAACCATAGTAATCATTGTTGGGGATCTACGTCCCAAAACTACAATGTGATCACGAGTGACGCCATCGTGCAGTGCTCCGGACGTTTAGACCACCTGTTTTTTTTTTTTAACGTTCACCTAAATCTAACCACTTGGACCTCTGCCGTTTTGCCCCCATCAAAAGGCGGCCACCACATCCGCGATTCGATACAGTGACTCTCAAGTCGGCAATTTGAATCTCAAGTATTCAAGCAGTGCATATCGGAAAAGTGGCAGCTCATCTAAGAGGACTAGGGGAATGAGCCTGTCTATATTGTCGTGCTTCTCTTGGCAGAGGCTTTGGCCAAAGTGGACGATGAAGAGCGCACATTGCTGCCTGATTACGACGACATCAACGAGGAGCTCAAGGTCAAATCCTCATTGATACGAAAGGCGAAACGAAAGGCAAGTGTGGTTGCACACTCACTCACTCACTCACTCACTCACTCACTCACTCACTCACTCACTCACTCACTCACTCACTCACTCACTCAATCAATCAATCAATCAATCAATCAATCGCTACTAGGTTCGGCTTCTGCCATTTCGCAGATCCAGACGCTGGAGCAGGAGGTGCGCGACCTCCAGCGGGAGTTCGAGAGCGAGCGCACCGACTACCTGGAGACCGTCCGGCGACAGGACCAGCAGCTGCGGCTCCTCTCGCAGATCCTGGACAAGGTGCAGCCGTGCATCCGCCGAGACTCCAACTACGCCGACCTGGAGGCCGTCAAGGCACAGAGCGTGTGGGACCAGGACGCACAGCGCTGGAGGCTGCCCGAGTTCACCGTGCAGCAGACCAAATTGCCACCCGCGGCCGGTATGTGACCCTGTTGCGCCAGGCTGTACTCTGTTTCATTCAGCAAAATCAACGCTGTGGAATTTAGTGATACTTAAGAAGTAGATGCATGCGCTCCAAATTATAGTCAATGCTTTTACCACCCGTAAGGTTTTTTGTTTTTGTTTTTGTTTTTCAGACCGGGTAACAAATGAGAAAGTTTTGTGTCTCATAAGTAAAGCAATTACGTTATTTATGCGGTTGTCAATAGGTTGTTCTGGTTCGTTTAACGTCTTTGAGATAGAAACATAGACATGAATAATTGATCGAAACATATACATAAATTAAAATAAAAAAATAAACTGAAAAAGCGGGAAAAAAATAGACAGAGAAGGAAAGAAAGCGAAAACCGAAGAGAAGCAAAGAAGCCTGTCCAGTTTTTTTCCTTTCTTTATGCTTGGCACCACTTGTGCAAAGCTGCATTCTTTTCTTTTTAGAATACTAGACTACAACACGACCCACTCAACAAAATTATTTCACTGCACCTTGTAGAAACTAATTTCGACCAGTCTTCATTTTCGGCTCCTTTGTCTTACATTTGCCGAATTCTTCGCAATGTCGTAATTCGTAGAAAGAACGAAATACTGACCGCGCTTGTAACTTGGATAAATACTGGAAGTGACTGCGTCAGCAAACATTAAATTCATTCGTTTTATTCTGCTGTGCAGTTGTAAAAAGAGGGAAAAAAAAGAAAAAAAAGCCACGCCCTGGCTGAACTCGGAGCACAGTCACAGCGACTTCAAAATTTTTTAGCCCGTTGTAAGACCCTCTGAAGCGGCTTCTGCAAGTACAGTTGCAAGGTACCCACTACGCAGTAAATCACAATTTTCCGAAGTATTGAAGGTAACCGCCACGGCATTATTGTTCATTCTGCGTAGAAGCGAGGTACCCCGCTATGTAGTAAGTCATGATAATTTTTGGAGTAGGAAAAAACCAACCATGGTATTACTGATCATTCTGTGTAGGAGCAAAGCACACGCTACGCAGTAAATCAAAATTTTTCGAAAGGAAAGGTACCCGCCACCACAATATTGTTCATTGTGTGTAGAAGCGAGGTACCCGCTACGGTATTGTTAGGCATTATGCGCATTTTGTTGGGGCTGTGCCTGATTTTGATGAAGAACCATGACTGAGCCTTTTGTAGTTGGTGGGAAGCTTTAACCCATACACTTTTTATGGTCTCAGGATTGTATTAGCTCTGGTGTAACATTCCTGCTCTATTACACTATATTACATCTATTAACGAGATTGCTTGCCAGACAGGACGCTTTTATGTGGTGTTTTGTGAAGGAGTTTTTAGCACAAGGGTTCATTGCGAGGGAAAAATGTCACTGCCATGCAGAGGGCATAGATTCAAACCTCCTTCGAACTTGTAAAAAAAAAAAAGCGCAATAGATCTTGAACAGGACTTGCTATGTTCCTTCTTTTGTACTTACACTGCCGAAAGAAGTTTAAAGATTTGACATTGCCCTCTTAATTTGCAGGCATCCAGCCAGGAGGCAGGGTGGCACAGAATATCGGTGACACGCCGAGCCTCACAGGCAGCACGTTTGAAATAAGCACGCACAAAAATGTGAGTAGCCTGTTAGTTCTGTTCCAGCATACCGCGGTATTCACCATAAACTCGGAAGACTGTACACTGCCATAGAACATCCGACAACGTTTAACCTCCTTTTCATTTTTTTTTCTACAGAAACCTAATTTTGGGAGTGACTTTGTGAACAGCATCTTGAAGAAGCCTCATCGACAGGAGGAATTGCTCAGTACGTATTACACTTACGTCACGCTGCCCTGAGTCCAAGATGTGCGCAGTTCTAGCAATCATTGAAAATGGTTGGTTACCACCAAGAGACGCAACGCGTTCAAGAGAAATTCACCTATTCACGATGAAACGAGCGCTAAAAATTACACACACTCACAGAGGAAGAAGGACAACAGACGAGCTTCTCTGAGTGTAATTTTTGGCGCTTGTTTCATCATGAACCTTTACCAACATGCCCAACTGACTGTCTTCCTAAAAATTCAAATATTTAGAAAATTTCTAACCTGCTCATTTATGGCGAAACAGCGTCCGCCAAGGTGCATCAGTGGTGCTCGGCGGCTGACCTGACGGTCGCGGGTTCGATGCCGTCTGTAGCGTTTCAGTGGATGCGAAATGGTAGACGCCCCCCATGTACTGTGCGATGTCAGTGCACGGTAACAAACACCAGGTGGCGTAAATTTTTTGGATCTTTCTACTGCGGCGTCCCTCTTGATGACATCGTGGTTTAGGGACGTAAAACCCTAAGTATTATCATGGCGAAGCAGCCCCGCAACGCACCGTCTCGCCGCGATGCGCACAAGGACGGACAGGAGCGACTCTGACCGTCAATCACTGTCAACTATTTCTTCAATAGGAATGGCGGTATAGGGTAAAATGCAGAGCACAGCAAAAGAGTAACGAAGGAAGGCGCAACGCTCTCTCGATGGCTCTGCCGGTCAGCACGGGAATCTTTAGGGGTTTTGATCTATACGGGTGTTATACCTGATGCTAAACATGACGTAATCACTGTAAGCTTTAAAACAGTCACTTCAAGGCAGCCTAAGAAACACAAGGTAATACATGTAAGCATTGTCGCTTTTTTTTTCGGCTTCCCGTATTTCTTGCTATTTTGGATAAAGAGTATACAACAGATAGCGTCTTTTCCGATTGTCCCGCCGTTAGTGCGGCAAACCCTATAGTTGACGCCGCTACTTGTATTTGCTTCTCGCGTCTAACAACGAAAGGAGGAAAGGAGAGAGTTAAGCATTGCACAAAAATAGTGAATGAGAGAGAAATGGAGGAACAGAAATGCAGAAAAATGAAACAGGGAGGACATCAATGAAAAAGATACGAAGAAGTAGAAAGATAAAAAAAGATGGAAAGAAAGCATCGCGCCGTCTAGCGACCAGGTACCGCACCGCATGACCAAGCCGCGCATGCGCGGTAGCTAAGCCACGACCGCCGACCTTACCCCCGTATTCACAAACGCTCCTCGACTCGACTTTCACGCTTCACTTGAAAGAGTTGAGCACTGCGCCACCACTCGGCTGAAAATGACGCTGCGCTATTCAATAGTCGCAGCAGACTATCGCTGGTATGCAGTGACTTGCCGCACCTAGAGATGGCGCTCCCATCAGCTTTCTCAAGTGAAGGCGAAACGTTGAGGGAAGGGAGGTTCTTGAATACGGGGGTAAGCCTGGCTGCGTACTTTCCAGGAGGATGCCGCGCAGCTCGAAATATAACGTGTCGGTCGACGGGGATTACTAGCGACGACGGGCTTAGCAGGACTTAGAGCGAGTCCGAGCTTAGCGCGACTTAGTGCGAACTGCCCGCATTTTTATCCCTCTGGCTTATCAGGCTTTCGCGGTCGTGGTTAGAATGGTGCTTTCGGCGTCGTGAATGGGTAATTTATCTACACGAAAAAAAAAAAAAAGCGTTTTACTCTGTAGCGTTCCCCCGAGTTAACAGCGAAAGGGAAAACTATGCATAAGGGAGATCGGGGCTTCTAAATACGATCTAACTACCTTAGCTAACTAATTATTTACCAAACTAACGAACTAATTACCTACTTAACTAGATAATTAACTAAGTAACTAACGAAATAACTAAGGAACTAGTCAAATAATCAACTAACTAATCATAATAAATAAATAACTAATTATAATAACTAATAACCACCTTGCTATAACAACTAATTAACTGACTAATTATTATAATGATAGCTAATTATAGAAACTTATAGCTAAGTACAAAAAAATAATTATCCAGGCGTGCGTTCTCGCTCTTTTTTAGCATTTATTGACGTTTATAGGACTACTCTCTTTCAAAATCATTGTACTTCCTTCAGACAGCCGTAGTTGGAGGACAAAAGATAGTTAACGTGTCTTGTTAAAGAGAGTCGGTTACGTGGCGTGTCGGGGTCCTCCGCGTTGACTTCACGTTGTTTCCCATCTGCAACTGCCATTGGGCAGACGCGCAATACTCGCGAGCGCCTCTGGGCCCGTATTCACGAAAATCACGGTGCAGAAAATACGTCAGTAATGAAGCGGACTGACTCGTGATAAACTCGTCAACGAAGGGGAACATCTTGAAAGCAGCGCGACAACGGCACGGACATGAGAAGACAGGAGGACAAACCACCGCGGTGAACTCGGAACTAAATTTTATTTGACGAAACAAGCACACTTATGTACCGACAACCAACCTGTCACCCATGGGATCACTACACGCATTACGTCAGATGGCAGCATTCTGAGTTCTGAAAGCCGTGAACAAGCGGGAAACAAATCAGTCACATCCACGTGAGCAGCCACAAAGGAAACATTCTGTAGATCACATCAGAAAGAGGAGTGAGGGTTGCATTAATCCTTCATACGTTGCCATGCACGACAGTGAGTACTGGTTCTCGGAATCTTCAGAGCCATATCATTCTTCTTTGTGGTTATTCGGGGTGGAAGTGATTAGAATTCGCGATTCCTGTTGTTGGTTTTTTAGGCTTCAAAGTGCCGCCTTCCGACGTCTTTCTCGAAGTCACGTGGGTGACAGGTTGCGGTTACACAAGTGTGCCTGGATTTTCAAAATAAAATTTAGGTCAGCGCTGTAGTTGGTCCTCGTATCACCCTTTGCCAGTGTTCCTCTTGCGCTGTTTCGAAGGCGTTCAAGAACTCTGGTCAACTATCCCAGCCGTCACTCCTTTTTACAAAAGAGAAGTTCTGCGAATTCGGTCTAAAGAACCCCAGGTGGTCGAAATTTCCGGAGCCCTCCACTACGGCGTCTCTCATGATCATATGGTGGTTTTGGGATGCTAAACCCATCAATCAATCAATCAATCAATCAATCAATCAATCAATCAATCAATCAATCAATCAATCTGCGAATTGGGTCTCTGGTTCCCCACAGATGGGATGCCGGATGCACCGAGCAACGGCGTGCGGGCGGCGTTCGGCGGCCTGGTCCGGGCCGGGCAGC